ACAGCCTGGTAAGACCCTCAGCAGAAGACCCAGCTAAGCCAGGCCTCAACTCGGAGATAATAAATGTATGTTACTATAAGTCACTAAGTTTGTAGCGATTTGTTTTGCAGCAAGAGAAAACTAATAAACCACTTATGTCAAATTCCCAGGAATATTTATTATACTCACAAGGTGGGATTTTTGTATGTTTAAATGGAAAGTGTTTTTGAAATGTCAAATAAGTATGTTTAACCAGTATTATTTTCATTAATTCTGCAATATTTTAAACTAAATATACAGTATTTATGTCTTGAGTATATTTCATAAAACCATCTGATCCCATCCCTTCTGGGAATCCCAATTCTAGTACTAACTTCTAAAAAATAAGACAATTTTTCCTAGACTTCTAAGCAGTCACTCTTACAACTAAAATTGGTTTAACATAAGCTCCTAAAATTGGACTCGTTCAGACCCCTATATCTCAATGATCCCCAACCTGACAATTCAGATAGAAACACACTAAATTTACTGGTGGGCACCAAAAATACTTCTTGCCAGAGAACAGACACCTTGGTTCTTTAGTTTCCAAATTTGCCCTGGGCCTTGTTCTCACCTAAATTGCAGCTTTCCTGTTCCTGAACAGAACCGCAGTCCCGACCAGTCCCCCTAAAAACAGCACATGTCTGGCTGGACCTCAGCTCTGCCATCTCCCACATCACAATAAAAGTCCACATGAAGTCCTGCCACCATTCCATCTGGGCTGGGGGCGGGGTGAGGAGGCCGGAAGAAGGTCTGACAAAGGACAGAAAGCATACAGAAAAGCAGTGCTCGGGAATTTCACGACCAGCATTTCCCAGCCAGTGACCCCGCACTGAGCCTGCCAGGGCAAACGGCACGTCCTGCAGCTGGGCCCAGCTTGAACTGCACTCTGCAAGAGGGAGGAACAAAAGCAAGCAGAGTCTCTTCTTTGTGTGTCACCCCATCCGCCCAACATTTCCCTCTATCTCCTCTCACCTGATCCCCCTCCATCTCCACAGCCCTAACTGCAAAGACCCCAACAGCACCTGCAACTGTCCCAGATTTAGAGACCCAACCCAGCCACAAACAGCTATGAACCAACTCGGTGCTATTTAAATAAGCGTGTGAACCTGCCTAAGAGCGAAGAACAGATATTCCTGGAACATGCGTCTTACTCAAAAAAGGGTTGCAAAGAGTACATTAGGCCAAAACAAACCCATATGCATTAGCACTGCCATCCCCAACCCCTGGGCCACAGACCAGCATTGGTCCACGGCCTATTAGGAACCTGGTCGCACAGCAGGAGGTGCGTGGTGGGCAAGCAAAGCTTCATCTGTATTTACAGCCACTCCCCATCGCTCACCATCTCCCCCCTCCTACCTGATCTGGGTCCGTGGAAAAATTGTCTTCCATGAAACCAGTCCCTGGTGCCAAAAAGGTTGGCATTAGAGACCAGAATAAAACTTGGAATTACTTTTGGAAGCAAAGATTTCAGCAAAATTTCCCTAAAGCAAACAGACTTCAAGTATGCTCCTGAGAGCCTGGAGAAGCTATTTACTCTTCTCTGCCATTAGCAGCTCACCAGGAGAAGAGTCTGAGAAGCATGCCTTTGGTGCACCAGAAGCCTAGAGCTCAAGTGACAAACGCTTCCCAGGGGCACGTCCTTTAGCCTGGCATCAACATCAACAACGCCACTTCATTACCGAATTCCCCATCAAACCGGTGAGAGCTGTACAGCGGTGGGCTCCTCAGCATGCATGGCCCTTTCCCTCCTCCTAGCACGTGGATAGAAAGAAGTGGTTGGGTATCCCCTTTCCACACACCGCCCATCTACCTCGAACAAAACTGACCCAACCCTAATCCTAAAAGCTATTTTCTTAGGCCACTCAGCTCATTCTCACCACCTGGTCACAGTCAATGGTTTGAGCAGGGTGTGTGACTCACGTGGCCTAACCAGGGTAAATCTCAGACTCTGACTTGGAGTGCTAGAATAGACCATCTTCTTCTAGACAGCACGACCTACGAATGCAATGCGTGGAATGCTGCAGCTGCTTTGCCACTACGAAGCAACAGCCAAGGAAGGTAAAGCAGACAGTAGGAAACGAAGTCCCTGGTGATATCAGCGAGCCGCAAAATCAAACCAATTCTGAAAGCAGAACTACTTGTGGACTGTCAGGTATACAAGTGAATAAATCTCCTCATATTGCTTAACGCAGGCTGGGGTAGGTGTTACTTACGACAAACACATCCTGACACTTCTGATTAGCTCCCAGCAGCCTCGTCCTGCACAGAGCTTCACATTTAGTATGACAGAATGACAAAGGAGTCTACTTCCAGAGCCAGCCAGCTGTAGATCCAGAGGTTCCTTAAGGGTTGTGAATGCTCTAGAGCATCGGTACCTCATATCCAGAGGCAATGCAAACCCTCATGAGAGCTCTGCAAAGGTAGGAACTATTTTTTATTTCTAAATATGTGGGGGGGGGGAGTGGATGGATGGCAAGGGTCCTTCTGTTCACTAGCCCCCTTAGCAACCCTGGCTCTGAACCTATAAATGACTGTTCAATATACTTGCACAATGGATCACCCTAAATGGTCACCCACTTTTCTAGTATAACAGAGTGACTATAAAAGAGATCTTTTTAAACTACATCTTCATTTGCTGGGAAAGAATTAAAAAACAAAGCAAAGGACAAAACATTAAAATGCTGCATGTCATATTAACTTAGCCTTGGGCATCAAGCTAAACAATTTTGTGGCAACCCATGAACAAAAGCAAAGCAGGAGTATTATCAGAATAAGAGCCAGGAACAGATTTCCCAAGGGTAAGATACATGACATGTGGGGCTGGGGAGTATGGTAATCAAATTTATCGTGTAGCATTTTTTAATTACAAAAGCAATATATATTTCACTTAAGTCCCAAAATGCAGAGGTCTAAAAGAGTAACCCTTTCTGTTCCCACGCCCCATCCCACCCCACCGTGTACACAAAGCTAACATATCTTTCTGTGTGTGCATACAAATACACACAAACATATGTACACATTCATACCCCTCCCCATTTTTTCTTTGGGGAAAAAAGAAAAAAATGTGCCTTCCTTTTGTAACTCTGTCACCTAGGCTGGAGTGCAGGAGCAAGACAATAGCTCACTGCAGCCTTGAACTCCTGGGTTCAAGTCATCTCCCTTTCTCAGCTTCATGAATAGCTAAAACTACAGGCGCATGCTACCGCATCCAGCTAATTTTTTTCATGTTTTTAGAGACAGGGTCTTGCTGTGTTGCCCAGGCTGGTCTCAAACTCCTGGCCTCAAGCAATCCTCCCGCCTTAGGCTCCTGAGTTGCTGGGATTACAGTCGTAAGCCACTGTGCTCGGCTCTTCCCCAACCCCCATTTATTTTAAAAAATAGGATCGTACTATACACATTACTCTACAATCTGCTTTTTTTCACTTAAAGAATGCGCAGCTCATCAACATGACGTTTGCTTAAAGTTATAAAAGGAAGGCACATATCTCATGGAAATAGTAGCCCTAAAGTATCATGGAAAACATTAATTGATGTGAATAACTAGAAACTGAAATCAATTTTCTACTTTTGTTTTATAACCAGAAAGGGCATTCCAAAAATAATTTAGAAAATAAAATTATGTAGGGCTGAAACCCAGACATTTTGTCTGCTAAAGACTTATGAATGTTAACACTTGGCATTTTGTTAAAAAGGGGATTGTTTTATTTTTAGTGGCCACAACAAATGAGGTATCTGAATGCACGCAATGTTCTACTCTCCATCCTATTTTCAATTCATCTAAAAGTGAATTGTGCTTTTTAGAGCCAAAAGAAAAATGATCAGCAACATTAATTAGAATATAATTGATTCCTCCTATCTCCATCTCAAAGACCAATGTTTAAAGTCTGTCTTTTATATGATATCAGACCACGCTTTCAATTAAAGCTGGAGAATCGTCAGGCTTTTCCACCTGAAAGCAGAACTGCTACACTTGGAGGGAATGTGACACCAGGCCACACTGCCAAACCAAACAATACCACCTCCGTGCTCTGCGGCAGCATTTTCTACCTTTCCCATTTGGATCAGCACTTTATTTATTCATTCATTCATTCATTCATTCATTTATTTATTTATTTATTGAGACAGGTTCTCACTCTGTTGCCCAGGCTAGAGTGCAGTGGTGTCATCATAGCTCACTGCAGTATTTTTTTCTTTTTCTTTTCTTTTTTTTTTAGAGACAGGGTCTTGCTATGTTGCTCAGGCTGGTCTTGAACTCCTGACCTCAAGCAATCCTCCCGCCTTGGCCTCCCAAATTGGTAGGGTTACAGGTGTGAGTCACCACACCTGGCCTTGGATCAGCACTTACACCTCAGTTTAGTATCCAGTTATCAAATTAATATTCCCAAAGCAGTATTCACATGTCTCATGTTACCATCAACCTTCCCCCACCTCCAACAATATGAATTGAGAAGGTTGAGAAATTCAATTCCTAGATTATGACCACTATTTTGTAAAGAAATTAATTATCCAAAGTTATCCTTGAGAAGCTACTCATTAGAATGCAAGGCAGTGAACTATTAAAAAAAGGACATGAACCTTCTTGACATTTGTAGTCAGTAGGGACAGAAAAAACTACCAGATAACAATATGTGCTTGGTCTCTGGAGATTTGGGACTAGTCATGTCCTGCCATACAAAAGTATAATGCCACATACAAAAACGAAAAATGAAGCTAAAGTGTTCCACTTGCTTTAGAATGTCCCCAGTATCCAATACTCTGCACACAGCTGATACTCTATAAGCACCATTTGGAAAGCAGACTCACTTAACTAATCAATATTACTTATGTGCCAAATTCTCAAAACTCTTTATGAGGGTACAAATATTAATACTTCCGGACTCTAAGAAACAGAGAAAAATGGAAAGTCTGAGAAAGAAAAGCCAGCTGTCTGCCATAAAATACAAAATCTAACACCCCAGATGATCTTCGTGTATACTCACATATATTTCATTATGGTCAAAACGCTTCTTGAGGTTGTTGATGAAGGTCTCCTCGTTGAGAGGTTCTAAAAGAACCATGTCTCCAACGCCAATCATATTGTCCAGAAGTGAGGTTTTCACCTCCATTTTGGCCATGGTCTCCCGCTGCAGGAGAGAGGAAAAGGGGTCAATTTAAATGAGCAAAATTATTTCGATGGCTTCTTGGCACTACTGAGAAATGAAACACTGGAAGTTCCAAACGCCCCTCACCTGCCTCACGAGATGTCAGAACCTCCCCTCCCTGCAAACTACATCAGAAGCTGCTGACTTGGCTGCCCCATTTGCCAACCTGCTGCCACAAATGAACCTCCTTGCCAGTCTCTCATCCCAAGCAAAGGCCACCTACAGAAAGAGCCAGTAGAAAGCCATGATCTTTGTTTTCTTCTTTAAACCACCCCTTCTCTCCAGCCAAGAGCTGCAAAACTCCAGCAAAAAAACCCAACCCAGCCCTTTCCCCCAGGCCTTATATACCAATGCCAGACTGTGAACCTGCTTCCTTCAAGACATCCTCTAGCATCTCATGATGAAATTCAGAATACATTTTCCCAAGAAATAATGTTTTGAAAAGTAATGCTGCTAACACTTATTGGTTACTTGCCACATTATCAGATACTACCCCAAGAACTTTAATGCATTAATTAATTTAATCCTCACAATAACTCTAAGGTAGGTATTGTTAGCCCCATTTTAAGACAAGAAAATTGAAGCTCAGAGAGATTAAGAAACTTGCTATGGTTACTTAAGAGTGTTTTGCATTTGGTGTGAAAGAACCCAATCGCCACTTATAACATTGCATCTATGGGAGGAAATTTCATTCCAGGTACTCAAAACGGACATATAAAGAAAAGAACACAACCTAACTTGTAAATCAGAGGTTGCCAATATGACATAACCTGCCAAGAGTGACCTCCGTGTTCTTAATTTTCATTCCAACAGACGTACCAGTGTAACAGCAAAATCAAATTAACATGCACAGACCAGAAATACTACAGTTTCCCTTTGGCTAGATATAAAAGTGTACCAAGTAGAAACAGGCACATTATAAAGGCAGCATTCTACCCCATTACTAATGCGTATGGTGTCAGCCAACAGTGAAACGCTAAGTCCCCAAAGCTTCCAATCTGATCACTGTCGAAAGTACTAAAATTCTTTCAAATATCTGAACATAGGAAAGTGGCACGTTTGTTAGAATGAAAGTTGGCATTGGAGTGCATGTGTGCATGTATGTTGTATGTATGTGTACATACATGTTTGTGTTACTTCTTCTAATATGACCAGAATCAAATGGTAAAATGATAAAACTAAATTCATCTGGGCTATTCTCTCTAAATGTTTCCAATGCAGAAGTCAGTTTTATATGACCTCAGCATACTAATACTGAATAATTTTTCAGAATACTAATAAATACTTACATATATACATGCCCCTGATATTGAGTGGAAAGTACATTTGATTTTTTTCTATTAAGGAGTCACCCAAGCATACTATGTCCTTCATAAATAGGCTGGTCTGCTTGTTTATGTCATAGCAAGTCAAATAAAAAAATGGGCTCCTATTCTAGTCGAGAACATCCAATAGGTCTCTCACAAGCAATGGAAACATTTAGTTGGTCTGTTTTAAAGAGAACTGGGAAGGGCTGGCTAGTAATTAAGCGATTCATTATTAATTACTAGCAATTTATATAAATCCACAAACATATCCTTTTTTCTTTTTGACCCCACTAAAAAAAATTAGGGGGCCTCGGAAAAGCTAAAAAAGAGAGACTAAGATGAAGTCAAGAGGATCTCCCATAAACAAGAACAACCAAATAAGGAACTAATACTCAAAAGAAGAATAGAATAATTTTTTTGTTAATTTATGTATTTTTAATTTGATACCAACTACACCTAGAATAAACAGTCCCAGACATCACTAAAACCCAACAATGGTGGCCCAAAGAATGGGTTCCTGCATTTGGAAGTCGGCCAGGCTCTGTTTCAGAACAAAATTTGTGGGGATGGGAGAAACTGCCCCGCTCTGGGGATGCAGCAGGAGCCAGGGAGACGGTGGGGCCGTGCTGAAGTCCACAGACAGATGTGCACAGGAATAGGACCGAGAGTGCCCGACCTTTGTCACAATAAATTAACATTTAAATCAAACTTCAAGTTCTCAGACTCATGTAATGCCAAAAGCACTCTAGCTGCGATGCATTACATATAATTTGGCAGATGAGGGAATAAGGCTTAGGGATTAAGGGGGAAGTCAACCTGAGAAGGGTTTCGAAAATAACTACCTCAAACCACCAATTTAAATTAAGCAAAGAGGTTGACTAGGAACTCTCTGCCCTGGGGTGGATTCCTGTATAGAGTCTATTTATAGAAACAGCTGCAGAAAGACACTAAGGCCTGCCCCACTGCAGGTAACAATAATTAAGCAGCCAATCTTTCTCTATAATTAAACCTGCTTTACCATCTTTTCCAATATAAATTCCAAGAAAGTTTGTATGAGTTCTAATTTTTACACCTCTATCTCAACTTTATAATCCAAAGGAGAGTAGTGGGCAAAACAAATGATGGTTTATAGGCAGTTGGTAAAAAGTGAAAATCTCAGAGTAACTTTTGCAAACCAAACCGAAAAGGTGACACCAAGATTCATTTAGTCATTCAAGCACAGTTTTATATTTTACCTTTTTAGCATCTAGGTATTATACTTTGGAGGAGGATATGGTGACAGCCTCCTTCATTCTCAATGTAAAAACAAGGCAGTAAGAAAATGGTGTAGTGGTACTTCCACATCTTCCTAAAAATGGATTGGTTTCCCATATGGTGACCACCATCTCCAACCTTGGTTCAGTTCACTTTGACATCTCAGTGAAATCAGTTGGTATATTTGCTCCACCAAAAGAATCCATTTGTTTTTTTCTCTGAAGGAGCTTGTTAACTCAACATTTCCATAAACCAACCATTAGTAGAATTCACATGGGGTTACAGGGAGAACGAAATGAGAACGTATGCAGAGCACTGGGGATACTTTTTGTTTGATACCTACTATGGGTGTATCTACCTTCTCCCTTCCCAAGAGCCCCCGTGGGAATCCATGTGGTTCTGGGGAAGGCAATGCTACCCCATGCTCCAGGAATTAGCACGTGATCTAGGCTAAGTCAATCAACACATTCCCATCTCCCAGCCACTGTAACTGATTCAAGGCTGGGCAAGTGACTGAGCTTGAGACTTTGGCTTGGAATAGTAGCATCTCTACCTCTGGATGGTGTGACTTCCAGATGTGACACTTGGAACAGCTGTAGCCAACTCTGTTTTCATGAGGGGGGATGGTCCGAAGGGGAAGAGTATACATGGAGGAGGGCAGGGCAAGAAAATTACCTAGAATTATTAGTGCTGGAGCCCTGCTGACATCCCAGGCCTCCAGATCAAATTGCACTTGAAGCCCACACCCCAACTCTCAAGTTTTCAGTCATGTAAGCCAATTAGTTCTCTTTATTGTTTAAGCTGTTCGAGGTGGATTTTCTATTATTTGCAACAGAAAGCATCTTACCTAATAAAAGAGACAGGTACCAGGAAGTGGAGTGTTTTAAATATACTAAAAAGCAAAAACTGGTTGATCTAAGGCACAGGGTGGAGGGAGGACTGGCAAGATGATCACCTTTTCTATATAACAGTAAAACAGCTGACTAAACCACAGCCTGGTGCGCCCTGAGACTTGGACTTTTTGTCTGCAACATTAGTGAGTTTGAGAAAAATTCATTTTGATGTCGAATAGTGGAATGACCACGCACTTCGCATAGATGACCTATTTTGTCTAGCCCGTACACATTCCCACTCCTATGTGCACCTGATCTCCCTTCCAGGGAGACCCCAGTTATATGTAATCTTGTGAGAGGTGGTACCCAATTTCCATTACAGAACCCAAAGGAGACAGATCTGTTCTCTCTCCACCCCAAGACAGGCAGAAAGTGGGAACATGGCTTCTGTGCAGCCAATCACATCTTCCTGGGAGGTGATAGCAGCGGCAGCAGCACGAGGACCAGGTACACCTGCAGCACAGCTTCTCCTATGCATCCTGCTGCCCAGCCCTCCAGCCCTTCCTTGCTTCCTTGTCTACCTCCCCAGCCTGCATATATCCTTCCGGGTCTTCCCACCCCCGCAATTCTGTGAGTATCTGTATCCTTCCTGCCTTGCCAGCAACAAAGATTCCTAACTGACATGAAACTAAGTACTGTGCCTAACATATAGTATTATACCACTGTTACATGTTCATTGCTATGTAAAACCTAACCTGTTTCTCCTAAACTTGGCAAAGGCAATCTACAAAACACAATGGCTGCAGGAGCCTTCAGAGGTGCCAGGGAGGAGCCCGGAAGCAGAGTTCTACCTAAGGGTGCGATTTAGGCCAGCCACCAGCCTACCCACTGGTGCCAGGCAACCCCATGGCTGTGCCAGCTCTTTCCAGCTGTTTGTCGAGCCAAAAAAAACAAAATATATGATTGCAACTGTTTCTTCCCCTACCTACTCTCATCTCAGGAACTTCCAAAATTACTATCTATATTTCAACATACACCAATTCATTTACTAGCATCTTTTGCAGGGTTAAACTACTGTTTAAAATATTGAAAGCATCGTTCAAAATTCCCTCAAAATCCAAGAGAATGCAACACAAACATCGTATGTCATCTTAAAATGGCCATCTAACATTTAAATATGAGTCTACCCAGTCACTAACCTTAAATTGCAAGCCACCTACCATGTCAACGTCATCTGTGGTTGCGAATGTCAAACACCAACGTTCCCCAAGCTGTTAGCCCCCCAGATACAGAGATAGCTAGACAAAATAGCACAGTCATGTGAAGTGCATGGTCATTCCACTATTCAATATCAAAATAACACTGTGAAGTTATTCCAAATTAATAATTAATTAATTTAATAATAGTTTAATAATAACTAAGACGAGATGGAGGATAAACTGAAATAAATCTCATTTTATCTGGCGGTCCTCCATTGAATTCAAAGTTCTCAGAGTACCACAGATGAGAACAAACATATATTTTTAAGTAGAAACGCTTTTACTGTACAATTTGAAAGAATATTCACAAATCAGATCTGAGGTTCCAATGATTGATGAGAATTAATATCAAGTCACTAACATAATTTTAGATTTGAAGGAACTTTTAAAGCAAAGCCAAAAGTCACGTGCAGGAAAACTTCGTGGAAGCAGTTACCTACTGCTTTAATAATTATAAATGACGACTTTTAAAACACATCTATTATAACATCATTAGCAATATACATCAGAGGCAGGCCTACAGGGAGTCTTCTTACCATAGCAACAATTGTTTTTTGTCTGACTCCAGTTTCACACATTAACCTCCCTGTATGGTGGTCATGTATGCATGACAGCACATTTTCTGGAGAATCAGTTCCTTTGGTATCAAGAATCATGCCTTATTCGTCTTTATTTCCCTGAAAGCATAGTGCCCAACCTCTTGCACATGGTAGCCATTCAGTGATATACAAAGGGAAAACAAGTATGCAAATTTACAACTGACAACTGAGTCACACAACAATGCACTTCTCACAGCTGCCAAGGGTTGGTTCCGTCGCAGCCGACCAGAAGGCAAAATAATGATTGTGGTTTCAAGCCACTTTGATCCATTCTTCCAAAAACATATTATCAACAAAGGACAGGAAACAGAATTGAGCCGCTTGGCTCCCAACGAGATCACTAATGCTTTTAAGAATAACATGAGAAACACATTTAAGTAAGAAAACGGGGCCAATGTGGCAAGATTTCATGAACAAAATAACTCTCAACAAATTCTGAAGGCAAAACAAAGGCATAAAAAGGGGCTGAGCCTATATAGGACATGGTTCAGTACCTAATATAATGAGCTAAGTGATTGAGAAAAATTGGAATTTCCTTCCTAGGTCTTTTATAACAGCACCAAATCTCACGTCTCTGAGAGGGGTTAGATTAAATTTCCATTCAATTCAGTTCAACCAGCACTTAGAGTACCGAGCCCTGTTGTGTTGCTGGCATTGTGTGAAGCGCTAAAAACACAACAGAACATCATGGTACCTCCCCTCCCCACACCACTGCCCAGGAGCTCAAAGTCCAGTAGGAGAGGCAAGAAAACAGGCCACTTTTGAAATTCCAAAAACCTTTTTAATGATCAGAAGTAATATATGTTCACTACAGAAAAAATTAGAAAATGCAGATGAGCACAAAGACTTAACCAAATTAGCAACCCATATTTACCAACAGTCCACCCACCAACCATCTCTACCACTTGGCTGTGTCTAACATCTCAATACGTGTCCAAAGCTTCTATCATCTACTATCGAACACCAAAATACCAAAAAAACAAAACAAAACAACAACAACAACAAGAAAAACCTCTTATTTTCCCTAAATGCCAAAAATGACGATTGACCCAGGTTGTCATCTTTGATTTCTCCCTGTCTCTTACTTCTTCTCTTCATATCCAACCTGGCTCACTGATTGTATCGCCTTTATCACTCTCACTTCCATCCCTTCCCTCAACAGCCTTCTAAGTGGTCTCTCTGCCTTGTCTGGCCACCACAGGCCCCGTCAGCCCTTCCTTTCCTCCATCCCTGTGCCACACTATCCAAGTCACCTTTCGAAATTACAATCTGATCAGGCATACCCTGCTTCAAATTCTTTAATAACTCTCCAGTGTTTTAAACCAGTACTCCAATTCCTTGGCAGATCCTCAAAACGAATGGCAACACACAGTTGCCATATGACCCAGCAACTACACTATGGGTATATACCCAAAAGAAATGAAAAGCAGTAACTCAAACAGATATTTGTATGCCCATGTTCATTAGCAGCATTATTCACGATAGCCAAAAGGTAAAAGTAACCCAAGTGTCCATCGAGGGACGAATGGATAAAGTAAATGTGGTACGTATGCAAAATGGAACATTATTCAGCCTTAAAAAGGAAAGAAATTCTGACACATGCTACAACGTAGATGAACCTTGAAGACATTATGCTAAGTGACATAAGCCAGTCACAAAAGGACAAATAGTGTATGATCCACTTATATGAGGTACCCAGAATAGTCAAATTGATAAGAGACAGAAAGAAGAACGGTGGTTGCAAGGGGCTAGGGAGTTGCTGTTTAATGGGTACAGAGTTTTAGTCTGGGATGACAAAAAAAGCTCTAGAGATGGATGGTGGTGATGGTTGCACAAGAATGTGAATGTACTTAATGCCACTGAACTAACTGTACACTTAAAAAAGGTTAAAAATCAAAATTTTATGTTATAAATATTTTACCACAATAAAAAAAATATTCCTTAGTGGAGAACACATGGCTCCAGAGCCTGACTATTGCTTTCTCACCTCTCCCCTGAGAAGTCCTCCTACCCTAAGGCAAACCTCTCGCAATAGGCAAAAGTACCAAGGCCTCCAAGGACACCCTCAACCAGGCCACAGCTAACCAAGCTGAGGGTACACACCGTCCAAAACAATGGCAGCTTCCAAGGAAGGGGCTGGCATCAGGACACAGCGACTACAGGCAGTCAGCTGCACGCACCACAACAGAAGTTCATGAAGATCCCGGGAACGGGGTGTCATTTGGGGGAGCCTTGCCAGGCTCCCGCAGAGGGAGCCTGTCTGAAAAGAGGAATGAAGCACGATGACAGGCCATGTGGGGCAGACACAACAGCTGCTTTAGACGCTGAGAGTAGCTCTCCTTGTAGGCCTTCGGGAGCTTCAGCTGAGCTTCTTGTCTTAAATAAATCCCCCCAAATTAAACCAGTGTGAAGAGCCATTCATCACAGGCAGTGTGCTCTGAGCAAGCCAACTGTATAGACTGAATGCTTATGTTTCCCTAAAATTCATATGTTGAAGCCCTAACCCCTAACACGATGATATTTGGAGGTGAAGTCTTTGGGAGATAATTAGGTTTAGATGAGATCAGGAGGGTAGGGCTCCCATGACGGGATTAGTGTCCTTATAAGAGGAGGAGGAACCAGAGCTCGTTCTTTCTATGCAATGTGTGGACACATCTAGAAGGCAGCCATCTGCAAGCCAGGAAGAGGCCCTCACCAGAAACTGAATCTGTCAGCCACCTGGTCTTGGACTTCCCAGCCTCCAGAACTGTGAGAAATGAATGTTTGTTGCTTAAACCACCAGTCTATGGTATTTTGTTACAGCAGCCTTATCAGACTATTATGCCAACATACCTCCCTCACAACTGTTAGTCTGCTTGTCTGCTTCTCCCCTGGAGAAGGGAGGCTTGAGTTCTCAACATGCAAAGGCCCCACTGCCTGGCAGAGTGGCTGACACCCAGGGTCCTGGTGTGTAGAGTAAAAGAATGAACGTACATTGGAAAGACACAGCCCATTCTTCCGTCCAGGACTGTTTCTATCATCTTTACCCTCCCTGTCCAGGTCATAACTGGCAAAGGATAATCAGAGAGCCTCAGATGACACACCAAGAACGTCTTCACAAAAGACTCAAGTTAGAAACCAAAGGACAAAACACTTTCTCAGTATTCATCAACCTAAAGGGCAAGTGGAATAAAAACTGGATTCTTTAGAACACTTTACTGAAGTAGCATGACTCTCGAAAGAGAGGGGGCTAGTGGGCCACGCAGAACCACATGGGGTACTTTGCAGCGTTCCTCAAAGTCTCAGAGAAAGCAGGTCCTGATAGGCATTTGTGAAAAGGTTCAAGTGATGCTGATTTTCATTCCTACCAACACACTCGCTTGGAGAAATTTATATAAGGTGTGTCTATTCATGGCATTTACTTCACAAATTATAGTCATCTCACTTTTCAATCTTTTATTCTACTGTTAAAGCCAACTACATATTGAGCCCTCCCCCACCCAAAGCTTTCTGCTAAAAATATCTAATGGATTGCTAGTAGGAGGGCTTTTGTTAGGATCTTGGATTAGGGAAGAAACAGACACAACTACTGGGCAATTTCCATACAGTATGTTGTTGCCTTGTGTTCAAACTCCGGATAATACCAAGGACATTAAATTAACAGGCAGTAAGGAAATCAAATAGATTTGAACAGGGAGTGAAAATAAACAAACAGATAAAAGCAAGTGGAAGCCCATAATACCATAAAGCCTGACACTAACTTTAAAAAGTTCTATGAGTGAGAGGGGCAACTAATTCACCATTCTAGTTACCTAAGGGTTAACACCCCATAGAGCACCTCTACATAGGCCACCAGGGGTCAAGGCCAAGGTTTCCTTCTTTCTGGGTATGGAAAGGATGGCCTTACCAACAAAAGCCATCAACTGGGAGTTCAACTACTAATACCCTCCATCCCAGGCACAGGCCAGTTGTTAAGGATTGAAAGACAGCACCCAGAACTTCACAATTCGTAAAGTGATGTGAAAAAAGTTTTTTCCAACTGTGGAAAGTGAGTATGACAAATATAGCATCTAGACTAATTAGAAGGATTTTTGAGTCAAAAATAACAGTGGCTGCTATAACAACATGGAATGCTACGGATTACTAACTACCACCTTTCTCTTCTGATCTATGAGCAAAATTTCGAAGTGCCTTTGTTTATAATTAAAGAGCAAGGACTCAGACCTTAGGGTCCCAGGCAAAACCTCTTTTAACAGATGAAGCAGTGGCCCCAGGAGGTGTCGCACATCTGGTTTCTGGGAGAGCCAGGGTGAGGATGAAGCTTTCCTGACTGGTCCGAGAATGGTCTTTCACACCTATTATATTAAGCACACCCTTCGATTTAAT